GTTCTCGCTAGTATATATATATATATATATATATATATATCAGTTTTCATGGGTTCACCATATGAAACCTTTTGTGGACGACGTCCTCGGAACGGAAGCCATTTTCGGAAGCAAAACGAGACGAACAACCATTTCTCGATCTGCTATGGCATGCCCTCAGAGCCCCGATTTACGGCTACAAGTCGTCTAGCTCCAGAAGCTCAAAGAGGGGAATTAATTAAATGGTATATAGAGTGAACAGCATGCTCCCAATCTCCTGAGGGCCTGCAACCCACTTTTTTATGCATTCCAGTACCCCATACTCAGTATTCAGTTAAGAGTGCGGGTCCACCAGGGTGTGGTTTTTACCCGTAAAAAAAGACCAAAATAGACCGAAGTCCAAGCACAAATCACCCAGTAAAAACGCGGCAATAGCTTTCCCAACATATGGATGCCCACCTCGAAAAACGCCACAGTGGATCCTCCTTGAATAGTCCCATACTTTATCTTTGTTTGTTTGGCCAGATCCTCAGCATTCTCAATAGGTGACTCCATTCGTGCAACTGTGAGAAAGGCTGCCAAGTTAGCGGTGTAGGACGAAATAACTATTAAGGTGAAAAACCACCAGAATCCGGCAATAATCCGCGTGGACGTGGCATGTGGCACGACATCCGAACCTCGGCAAGTAGAAGAAACAAAACGAGCCTTAGGTATCGTCACACACGGAACGGACAAACTTATCAAGATGGAACACAACCAATACCTGTACAGGCGACTGAAGTTAAATTTGTGAGCGAAAACTGCAAAGTTGAATGTTTCTTGAGATAAAAGTATCCAAAGATGCTTGGAAACAATTTCTTTTGTTTCAACTATACCAGTAAATTTTTATATCCTCTCTGTTTCAGCAGACAGTTGCTTAGTACAAAACAAAAGTCGTGTACGAACCGGTGGCATTCCAAGCGTCAGACAGCCTATAACTGCCCAACACAGGAACACTAAATTGATCTCATTCATATTCACCCGATGAATCCCAATGAGGAAGAAAATTCCGGGTTGGCACATCTCACCGTTGTCAAATGTCCTTGCTTTTTTACACTTTTCGCAGTGTACATCACTTCAAATGGCCGGTGGTATTGATGTTCTTGTACCCCTCTATATCAGGAGAATTCTACTAAGGAAGTGATTTTTCCATAAACTGTCTTGGTCTGGTCACTAGGTCAGTTAAGCTGTTTCACGCAAGCTAAATAAACATATGGTGTGACTGTGACGATCGAGGGATCCATAACTTGAATAAATATTCGCTTCAAACGGAATGTAGAAGTCTCCATAACAATCGACGATAGTTCAGATGAGCCCCCGCATGATGTAAACATCACAACCGCATGGGATACAGCGCGACTAGCAGTACTGAAGAACTTCATTAGATTCGCAACATTGCTCGGATAGCATGCGTTTCAGGGCTTCGTGTACATTCACTTTGAGAGACAGTACCAGTTGTTACTGGGCTAACGATAATCCTAGTCAAAGCGATCAGTCAGTTTATTTGGATATACCAAGTGCCCTCCGGTTAACAAGGTTATAATCACCGGTCTATGGGAAAATAATTTTCGATTTATTTAGCTTTGCTTATGACGTGCTCGCAAAATGCACACTCACCGGTCGGATGTAGGAGAGTGCAACACAAATTAACAAATATCTGGAGGGTTCTGTTTTTACTAACATACAGTCAGGCTATTATCCTCATTATTATTCCTAATCACTTGGTTCGTCACGAAGGCGGTGAAGTTAATTGAGGCTCCTGGTGGAACTGCAAAGCAACATATATACCTTTAACATTACAGAAATTCGGACTACGGTTACATGACTTCTGAAGCCAACGTGATGCCAGTTCACAACCAGCACATCTGTTGTGTTTGGGTAGAGAAACACTTTGGACCTTCGTAGCCATTACCTTATTCAGTGGTTTGAACCAAAGTGCACTTACCAGTGTTTTCCTCTTCCGTGAAAAACTATCGAAAACGGTAATCAAACAACTAAACACCTAACCAAGCAATGAAATTCCGTGAATTTTGCTGCGTCAGTCACTAGGAGTGCATTTTAGTTTGACATGTACCTTTCTGCATTAATGCTCCAAAAGTAAACCAGATGCTGTTCAAAATGTTGAACTTGTTTTCCACAACATTGGAGTTGACGTTACACGGATGATTGATTTTCCATTCGTATGGGCTGAAGCGCGCAACCACGAACAAGACCAGACTGACCATGATGGTGGCGGCCAGTATGTAACCCCAAACCTACGAAATGGAAAAAGTAGAAATGAGTTTGGGTGCGTATTATTACGAAAAGTGGAAGGTTGCAACACGATCGAGAAAACGAGGCAAGATAAGAAGTTCATCGAGGTTTTGCCCCAAAATCGCATTCAACGTCAAGAAACACGATGAACATTCTCAGCGTTTGTGAGTCATGCGCACCTCACGAATGATTAGGTTTCGAACCCACAATTCTCCTGAAGGAAGTTGGGTGAATTTACGATGCAGCTGTGGCTGGTTGGTCACTACCGCGTTCATGTTTGGACTTGGTTACGATGTGCTGTTATCAGTCCCATTTTTGCAAGTGAGAGAAATTAGCTATCCATCATTGTAAAACGCAATTCACGTTACGCTGACGTGCTCCTTTAGCGACGACTAATGAGAAAAAAGGTTGAACAACTCAACCCGTGAAACCGGAACTGGAGCGTTCATAAACTTTACATCACCTCGTATGGCTGCTAGCATACCGCTCTGCAGATATTTCATATGATGCTTTAAGGAGGGTCTAATGAGCTAAGATTTTTCTCATATGTTGATGGTAGTGTAAAGAGTGTTCCAATGGGATTCCATCCTGTAAACGAAGCCAACCTATACCCAAAGACCAAGAAGAACTGCATAGCTGTTTCATCCCTATTGGTAATCATCAGCAGTGCACACCCCATGAAACTCAATGGAAATTCGAACCTGCGATCTCCTGGCTAACAGTTTGAACACCTAACCGTTCGGCCACGAACTGAACTGAAACCCTTAGTGAAGTAGTTTATCGGATCCGGACGGAATTCTTACGGCTTTCTCAACTGGACATTTAATTTGCGAACACTCGCTGAAGACGGATATTGCAGAGGCAATCGTTTGAACTGTTCTTTATTTGTTCATTTGGTTGATCCGTCTGTCTGTTTATTCTTAAAAACTACGCTCTCCCCCCTCGGATTTTAGTCACATCTAGGTAGATAGTGTATAGGTAGACATGATCACGACGACAACTGACGAGGACAGCCTAGATCACTGAATGACTGAATGACAGGAGGTTCCGGCATAAAGAGTGGTCACTAAGCTTAGATAGAACACAAAGCCACGAACGATCAAGAAATTGCGTTGGAAACTTGTGGGTTGAAAATTCAAACAATGGTTCATCAAGCCACTGTATCAAACCAGTATCCCTGTATGACACGTATTGGCGAATGAGGCGGACGGGCTATTAAGAAATTAAATCAATAGCTGCTAGCGCCGTCAAACAGCTTTAAACAGTCTTCGTAAAACAGGGTGGTTTAGTGAAAAATGGTAATGGGTGCAAGGGCTTTTGAATGTCATTGAGCGTTGGAGTCATTTGGTGGGATACAGCGGTCATGAACCCTTCCCGTATTTAAACTCCATACCATTGAAAGTCGAGATAAGCGTGCTACCATCATTTACCAGGCGCTCCTGAATAACCACGTCCAAATAGGCGTAAAAGTTTGCAGTTTGAGTGATATGATTGGTTAACTTAACCAAAAAATAGGCAACAATAAGGTCACTTAATGATGGATGGCCTAGAAAACCAAGTTAAGTTAGCTCGGAAAACGTGGTTCGTACTTCAGTGGTAAACATCTGGGGCAATTAAAACAAGGTACGCATTACATTGCTCACTTACCGGTGCTGACAGTGGTTGAAGAAATGAGAATAAATGTGACCGCTTGTCTTCGATTCTCTTGTAAATAATGCTGATCCCGAGATACATGAATGGAGTTGTGAAATCGATGACACGGTCACGATCGTAAGTGATGGTAAACGACCCAACAGCCAAATCCGCTTTCTGTAAAAAAAAGTAGACACGGTGGCATTAGCGGATGATGACGGCATTAAACCTTCCCCTTTCTAAGGCTAGCATGATTATCCAGTGTCGGTGTAAAGTTTTGGATTGATTAGAGCACTTTGGTGCTCTAATCAAATTGTAGCGAATGGATTCACATCAGTTGATAAATGTCAGATTCCCGCATAAACCGACAATCTGGGTGCACTGAAACTATTCAAGCCACTGATAATTAAAATGGTGAAATAACGGTTCCAATTGAAGTCAAGAGGAAGTGACAACTCAGATTAAGCGACAGAGAAGATATACCTTTAAGGCGCGTTAGTGGAACGGAGTCTTCAGCGCTAAACGTCTACTAAAAGCGTCTCCAAGGGCAGTTATTATTGGACAGTTCAACATCGCTATGAAGGTCTAAAGCAATTTGGGAAAATCTGTGTGCACAACGAGGAAAAAATCTTATACCATGAAACGTAAAACGTTCGGCTCTCGTTGACCACAGAAATTAAACTTAAAGAGTTTTTTTAGAAGAAAAAACGTCAAAATAAGCTTTTGCTTGGTTTTGGGAGATGGCATAAACTCTGACGGAGAACGATGTTAATTCCAAACTGTGGCTTTAAGAAGCAGTCCATGGTTTCATTTCTCCAGCCATCTGTGTTATTGACAGGTACACATACAAACCAGTCATCATTATCTAGATCTCAGGTATTTTCTCGACCGATTCGACGATTTAAGCCCACCGATGAGTTATTTGGACCTCCGACGTCACAGTAAGTTGCTACATAACGTGTTCGTCTTTAACAAGTTGCATAGTGCACCTGTACCCTGTCGCTTTGTGGCTTTCATTTGGATGAAGCGCCAAAAGACAAGTTTTACTGAGATAGTGGTTATCTCGGATGCCTATAAGATTCCGTAAGAGGCCTGTGAGTTCTACCACGGGATTCTGTTGCAGTACATTGTTAAAGAAGGTTCATATTAATCTTTATCGCTAATCGACCCATCACTCGATTCTATCCAACTCCGTAAATGGTATGTGTTTCCATACATAATCCAATCACCATCACAAATTTATGAAAACTCCCGCACATCATTGCCTAGGAACTACCAGTTTCGAGCATTCTGGCTAGGTAGTTAAAGCGCTGATGGAAGTTGTCTAGAGAATGCGTCTAGATATGCTTTGTAAGATGAGCACAAATTGACCCGCATAAACGATGGATTAACAGTATTTCTTAAGGCAGTAATCAAATAAAATTAAATGCACTGTCCAGTTATGCTGGAATTATTTCTAGTTGGCAACTCAGTGTTCCCACGGTAAAACACCATGCACAACATATTAGCTCTCTTTATTTCAGTCCACAGGGAGGGAATTTAACTTGCACATCAGTACGATACGTCTTACCAGCTCTCAAGTTTCAACGAAATAACAGTGAAACAATGAAAGCTGTCACTATTTCCTACAAGTGTTTGTCCTTAGTTGGAGACACCTGGAACACTGAAATGCACTGAAATCCCCATAACACTGAAGAATATATCGTGAACTAAGGCGGAGAACAATCTATCTGTTGATTCACTCACAGTAGTAAAGATAAGGAGACAAATCTTTGGCCGAACTTCAGTAGTTTCCATGGAAGAAATTATCGACCAGAAGGGTCGGGAATTCACACTGCTAAAAAACACGTGCTTAGAACTCACCCTGGTTCGAAGCTCTTGAACCATCCCGTCCCATACTTCCTCCCCATCGATTATCTTTGCATTTCCGTAGGTAGAATCGGGGACCAGGTTGATAGTATAGGTGAAGTTCAGTTCCTTTCCTATTTCGTTGAGCAAATCGATACAAAAACCTCTCCAGTGCTTCGGATCAGTAGATTTTGGTTCACCTGGAACTACGCTTCCTTGATACATCACATAGGGTTTTTCCTTTTAAGGAAAAAGAGAGAAAACTAAATATACGGCACACCAATAAGCGACCTTCTGAAGGTGGGGACATAGTTCATTGTCACCTAATGCTAAAACATTCACGCCCGTTTGGGGCAGTTGCAGTTCACATTTATTGACGCAAATTCTATCAAGAAGCAGTATGTGGCAGATACTGTGGTGATCACTTTGTACTCAGTAATCTGTGGCGAGGCAACCTAAGATCACGTTATCCAAAAAGGAATCAGCCAATAGTTGGTAAATGATGGCCACGTAGGGGACCGAGTTTTCAAGCATATCGACTTGAGAAAATAGCCTCAACGTATGCATATATTTGTAACACTGGGTGAAACAATCCGCTCGTTGTGGAATTAGACTAACCAATGAATTCACTACAGTTGGTTGTAGAGAAAATAACAGCGACTTATGAGATGATCTTAGACTTAAATCCACAAGCGATCATTCAGGTTGTTCCATAGTACCAATAAAATATGGCGAAAAACTGGATAGTATAAACTATGCATGTTTTAGATGAAACGTCTATGGAAGGGAAAGACCAGACTTTACAAAAGCATGTTTGGTTACGAAAATAGTTCACCTTGAAAACTTAAATGTACTACAGGAAATGATCCATCTATTGATCCCTCAATAGCGGCCATTTCTCTACAAAAAATCAAGTCTCCGGATTAAATTTCGATGGGCCTTTTTCTCACGTTCACCTTCACTCTCATAAGAAAAAGAAATTTGGTGCTCTTCTACCTGAGTTATTATTCATAGTGCATACGAATGCTTACTTCTTTTGTAGTGATTCTGAGGACTTTGCCTTTCAACTCCGACTGCATTTCTTGTAAAGTACGACTGAAGTTCTTGGTCACTACCAAGCCTTCATCCATATTCCAGTAACCGAACTGCGTGAATACAGAAAACAGTGCACATGAAATGTGAACAGCGAATGAACTGAATAATTCCAATCTGTTAGACATTGAAGAACAAGCATATTGGTATTCAAGTGATTGTGCTAAACGTCTATGGCGGGTTATGTTTTTAAAATATGACAGCACGTTTTGAGCCGAAAACCACTCATCAAAATATGGTTAGTCCTTGAAAGGTAGCCATTACACGCCTTGCTCAGGCTGAAGAGTATCGAGTAGATGCGGCAGGATTGGTCCGCTTCTCCTCTGTTGACATCTTTCTCAAACTACCGCGGCGCCGCACAGCCACTAACCACACTTGCGCGCAAGTCGAACGTGGATGGAAGAGGTGATGAAATTCGGTCGTTTGAGAGCAGGTAATCGAATACTCTTGAATTTCTGTGATGAGCATCAGGCCAATGAGACGTAGAATTGTGGATGTGGAATACATTGTGTAATTAGAAATGCTCTAATGCACGAATAAGTTATGTGAATAAGGTACGTTCTGAAGACCTTATCCATCATGCAAATCATCATTCTTGCTTCTATACTCACTACTTTTGGATCCACGTTTTTTTTGTATCAGTGATTATCAGGTCAATCTAGGTAATCAAAGAAAGTTAGGAATATCCACTCAATTAATCTAAAGTCGACATATATTTAGAAAGCATATAGCATCAAAGAAAGAGATCGGGTGGACTTTATCCCCAGTAAATTTAGTAAACACGCATCCCAGAAGTTTTTAAACCGTGATTACAGATTACTAAGCAAGTGCACTGTATCAAACAAAAACTAGCTGCAAGAATGAGGACAACCAAGGCGTTCAACCCAGCTGATTTGCCACTATAGCTGGGGGTAGAAGCAACCTGGAACTCCGGTTCCATTGACTTCAAAATCGGAGAACCTGTCGCAGTGCAACTTTACCACACAGACGCACAAAACCATGGTTACAGTTTAATAATAATAATAATAATAATAATAGTAATAAAAAGAGTGATAATCGTCCTACCTTAACAACCCTTCGGTGAATAGCACGATGGGTGAGATGCTACAGGTTTTCAAGCCTAAACAGAAGTAGTCAAGATGCCGAGGTTGGTTTTAAACCACTGACCACATGGTTGGTAATTTCGCAGCTTAACAATTGAGTTAGCTCGAGCTCAAGTTTGAAAGTTAAGTACTACGGGCAATAATATGTTTTACCGCTCGTGGCTGATAGTGTTCAATACTTCCCTGATTTTTGGCAAGGTGAAAAGTTACTGTTATCTACCAGAGCGGGGCATGTGAGTGCAATTTCAAGTGTCACGCAGCACGTATATTAACAAGCATGGTGCTCAGGTTCCAAGACATTCAGTGAGTGTATCTCATGGAAATGGGCACATAAAGCATCCACATATTTTGCTATTCTTTTAAACTGCTTACGCGGATCTACCATTCTGACATGAATCTGCAGGCCGGATGAAAAAATCGAGTCAACTTAACGTAGACCCCCATCATAACATAAGCCTTCTCTTCTCAAAAGTGACAGTAAGAGGAAATGACGCTATCGGAAGTCCAAGGTTTGACACTGTCTCCTAAAGAAAAGACGGGTACCCAGAAAAGAATACACATTTTCGGTTATGTTCCTTCAGGAGGCATTTTCACGAAATACACATCATTTCGCAGACACTTCCACTTCTGGACGTGTTTCGTCGCTGACACCGCTTGAAAATCCCGGGCCAAGTGAACTCATTTCTTCATACCGCCTCATACCATTGGTCTTGAGCTTTTGAAGTCCACGGACGATGTATGTGTTGGTCTGTTCCTACCGCTTCTGAACGCCTCACCCAGGCACTTAATCCTGACATGGTTCGAACCAGCTGTTTGCTCAGTAACCTGTGAAGCCTAAAGGCTCTGGAATGCGGAGTGGTTGCAAGCGACTGGACGCAAAAGGAGAAAGCTCATTTGCGTGGAGTTTTGGAAACACAACAATTTCAAGCAACGCCTTGAGCTTTACCGTAAATTTTCGACCATTTTACATGACTGAATAAATGCAATCGAAGGGCGCAATAATCCATAGCTCATCTGTTGAGTATATACAGGGGCTTTGAACTGTTTTGAACAGATAGTCCTCGCCTTTTTTACCAGCGATATATATACACTTCCAGTAATCGGATCCTGGCAACACATCTGCGGGTAGTTTCGGGGCTTTTTAGGAAGGGGGCATTTGTGATGCATATGTTGGGGTTGCGTGCACCGGCTGCGTAATAACGGGTAACGGCAAATTTTCAATGTGAATTTATGACTGCATAACTGCATGGGCCGTGTGCAGTCCGTGTGGCCTGGCCAACGTGCGTTGGTATGTCAGTATCGACCGCCCTCCATTGTCCTCTGTCGGCTTGCTGGGACTCGTATTCCCACTAGTCGAATTTCGCACTGTCTGCTGTCTGCAACGCCCATCTAGATATAACTATCAAGCGAAAATGACGAGGTGAGGGCTGACTGTGAGGGACTGGTTCGATCATATTCGTTCATACATCAAACGTAGATGATGCAAGTCGATAAAAGAAGAACGTGCCATTTGTAATCCACTATCAAAATAACGATTTAGAGGTTCTGATATGAAGTTTAGCAGCTGTATCCGATTCCGAACAAAGATGCCGGCATTATTTATCATAATCACCCATCAAGACGCAGGTAATGTCAAGCAGACTAGAAAATAATGCCGGTTGTTAGTATTAAACGTCATGGTATCATATGTTCTCATTTATCTGTCTAACTGGTAACCGACCTAAACTTATGTTCAAACAAAAGTAGTATTTCAGAAGAGCTTGATACACAATCGGTAGTTTTTATTTGGGCAAGGTTTCGCTTTTGACACAAAGGTTCGTCAGGCCAAGTGAACAGGTCACCAAATTGGCCAGGTTACAAGGCAGACGGGGAACGTATCAGTAAGTCAGTCCTCTCCAGATTGTCACACTAGATCAATGTTGAGTGTCAATTAACGGCTCTTGTCGATTAGTGAAGTTGTCAAAATCTTGCTTTGGTGGATTGGGGGGAGGTTCAAATTAATTCCGATCGGGTTTGGTTCGTTAATCTTCCACTTCAGGGTGCTTCAGTTGATGTTTGATGATTGTCCGAACGCTCACGACCCCACGAAGACCAGGAAAAATCTACCGGTGGCAACCGAGGTGGATCATCAACTGAAGCACCCTGAAGTGGAAGATTAACGAACCAAACCCGATCGGAATTAATTTGAACCTCCCCCCAATCCACCAAAGCAAGATTTTGACAACTTCACTAACCGACGAGAGCCGTTAATTGACACTCAACATTGATCTAGTGTGATAATCTGAAGTGGACTGACTTAATGATTCGTTCCCCGTCTACCTTATAACCTGGCCAATTTGGTGACCTGCTCACTTGGCCCCTTTTGTGTCCAAAAGCGAAAAGTTGTCCAAATAAAAATGACCGATTGTGTATCAAGTACTTCTGAAACGATGAGTTTTCAATCGGTTCCAAACCTTTTCCAATAGTAGTATTTCTCAGAAAAAGCCAATCGGTCGATTCACTGCCAAAATACCTGTCAAATTAGGTCAGTCATAGAAAGGAGCTTTCTTTATAAAGGAAATGTGGTGGTTCGAGACTGCTGTGCCGAGAAATCTTCAGCCAACTATGTTCGCGTCAGGGAACTTTCATAGGGCAGTCAAGGCATAGCCCTCTCAAACGCTGCCAATGTGTCAACGAACATGTATCTGTGAGCTGACTGAAATGTGCTTGGTATTTCAACCAATAAGGTATTTTTTATCAAACAAAACATGATTACACTGAAAAATGAGTTTTGGATGCGGACAACAACTTAGCTGTCTTAAGATTGTTGTGAACAAAAACCACTCCACAAAGAATTCCAAGGCTCACATACCTGTCGAAAACCATCTGGCATGTATTCCAGAATATGTAGGTCCATATTCGAACGCCATCCGTGACCATCGAACTGAAAGGTTCCAGTCAAGCCCACAAAGTTTTCTGGCTGGATCTATGAGTGAAGATGGAATAGAAAGTTTGAACCAGTGTCAATTGCTGGATACTAAGTGCGTGTGAGTTCGTAGTTCTACCTCTAAGTTAGCTAAGTTATGGTCGACAAAGAGGAAATAGTACGGAAAACAAACGTCACTAACATAGACTGATGAGTGTTTCCCAGTGAATGACCAAAAGACAACCTGTAGCCTCAACAAGCAGCAGAGATTCGGATAAAGGGTTTGTTTGTGTATGAATGTATTCAGATTCGTTCAACATGCTCTGACGGAATAGCAATAAAGCGACAGCTTTGTTAATCACATTACCGGGACCGAAATCTCAGTATGACAAGTATTTGCACCGACGATGAGGTCTAGTAGGAGAACAATTCGAGTTAAGCGCATCTTTCTTGATGTAATCTGTCCAGACAAATTGCACTATATTGGAGGAAGAATGGTTTCGGTGAGTGGTGTGAATACCTACTCCAAGATAGCTGAATATCTGAACGAAACCACTGTTTATTCAACATCAGCTGCATCACCGTATCAATCTAATCTGCGACACTGATATGATCGGCGGGTGTTCAAATATAAACTAGTCTGGCAATCACGGTAACAGCTCTTTTTCCTATAAAAAAGGAGTCATAGTAAGACAGGCTGCAATATATAACTGAGCTCCCTGCGTGTCAAGCAGATATCCTCAGCCAACATTTGGTTGAGTTCCAAGTCGATAAGTTTTGACCTAGTATGGAAGGTGGACCTAGCGTTTGTGAAAGCAGGTCGACCTAGATAATTCACTTGGCAGACAGTACCATTGACATCTTAGTAAATTCATGGAACTTGGGGTGATAAGTTATCATTGTCGAAAGCCAAGTAAATGCAGTTTTTCTATGCGTGCATTCACAGATGGTCTGAGATAATGCAAATGTCTGATAGTAGGGTGAATGTAGAATGACGATAGATGCACACATTTTCACCCAATGTGTCACAGAGAACAATCACTCGCTCCCCAGAAATCAGGAATTAAAACGGCTCTACTGTGACGACTGCGGTCGAATAGGAATGTATGCAACAAGAGCAAATCTCCTCAGTCAAATTATCAGGCGTCGGCCAGTCGATTGAGCAAATTCAGTCCACATTTCTCGTCTGATCAGCACCAGTTTCGCTTTTACCTAAATGGCTTATTCTCATAACATTGTCATTTTTAGCGTGTTCAACCCAGTGATAAAATCACGCACTTCCGTCTTCCTGATTGATACACTTCAACAAGAAATCGCCATGTCATTGCTATTCCAGAGCGAGCAGTGTGGAAAAATCAATACAAGTAATTTAAAGGAGCCGCAGTGATGATGAATCAGACGTTGAAAGATATTGCCAAAGTGAATCAGGAGAACATCACAAACGAGAGATTCAGCTAGGATCCAAGTCAGTCTTTCGAAAAACCGATTTGGTTTGCAAATGGGTGTGTATTCGCTGAATCAGGGGACATTTTCGGATCCAAAGCACATGCCCCTTTATGAAGGAATGCAAGTTTCGAACATGATGTCTTGTTTTTTTCCGTTTTAGTCTCATCGAGCCTCTGATGAGCCGCGTCCGTTAGAGTAACATGGTTCAGCTACCATGCCCATATTTTCGGAAAAGCAGCGTCTATTGCAGTGGAGGCAAAAAGGGGCCTGTATTCACCATACAAGCCCTTTAGCTGGGAGCTGATATATAGCGGGATTAAAAAAGTGCAACAGCTCATCTAATGCGCATAGTCCTCGTGTATCTCAAGTCGGAATGCGAGCAGCGTGTTCGATAGGGTAGGTGATTGGCCATTGAGACGATGCTCACTTCTGAGTGCGAGGTGTCTGTACTGGTTTGGTTTGAAGTGTGCGTGGGCTTGGACAAAGGATAAATGAAGCCAGGGCTGGACAAGACCTGAACGGATGTTGCCTTGGCTGCTAGCGCACAGGTTGATTAGTTGGCTCTTGATGAGTGCGAGTAGAGAGCTAACGAGAGCAGTTCAGTTTAGCTGAATTCAAATTTCCTACCACGGACAACTGCATCATTTTGTTGGGGAACCTTAAGGATTAACAAATCCAGTAATTTAATATTCCGAATCACACTAGTAGTGTGGATTTTACCTATATTTGACCTATTTGTAACCTTTGAAGCTTGAATTTCCATCCGAAATACTAATGAAAAAATCCACCAACCAAGCGGGTGTGCAAAATCGTTAGGTACAGCACTCATTCATTCAAATAATAAGTTCAAGATGAGTTCAAATGATATCCCAGTTGAGTGGCACCAAAAGTCAGGATCATAAACTCTGCACTTTGTTGTGAGACTTCCTGTTGCTAAGGCCACAGCAGCGCGACACAAGTAGATAGGAAAGCACCAGTAAAATCTAACTATTGTGTCATCATACAGAAACCGCTGCGCGTTCTTCCATTTCACACCAAAGTTTTTCGGTACCTCAACACCGGGCTTTATAAACACATGCAAGCAACAAATGGTCGCAGGTCTGCCGTGCCATGTGGTCGACTATCTTCTGTAAGAGATGCTTGACACTACTAACTGTGTTCGGCTAAAAATCTTCCTCGTTACGACGAGCTTATAAGGAATTTGCTGTCACAATTCTAGAAATGTCACCGTTTTACATTCCTTGTCCGATACTGCCCCTAGCACCCAGGTTACTGACCTTGTCGGATAGCGGACCATGCTTACACCCCATATACTGAACAGCCCCATCTGGCAACTACTGGTTTATCGCGGTCATTGTCAGGCCCCTTAGAAGACTACCCTATCATCAAATAAATCACCTCCGGGTAATCGAAACAAATCGATCCGCACTTCTTTCGCATCACTAGCCGTGGAAACTGCCCCCTTATAGGCCGTTGTACGGCTTTAATTCGAACATCCTACAGCAACACCTATGTTTACTTCACGGTGCGTGCCATGAAGATACACCCACCAGTTCCAGTCACACCGGAAGTTTCACCGGCCAATGCGGCATGATGGCGACTGATACACCTAGACTTTGGAGGCCGGAGACGAATGTGGCGCGCCACCACTCATGGCTAACCTAACGGAACCTAGTTCCCACAGTACCCAAGAATGCTCGCATGCGAGGTATCTAATAGATCTCAATCCTTCAGGTGATTCAAAGGCTGCTGTCCGGTGAAAAGGATCATGGCGGATGCGTCTTAGTTGAGTTTCACCACAAACACAATCGTTTCACTGGCAAGCATCCGTGATCTAAATTTATGGACGGCACTGCACTGGCGAACGAAGCGGATTCGAAATCCCTAGTGTCATTTGTACTCCACTGGTTATGACAACTGTTAAACGATAGGAGCAGATAGGATGGTGCAGTATGATCCGGAAGAAAAAATCAAAACGAAACTTTTCAGTTAGGCTTCCACTGATATTTGGAGTTTGGAAACGGCTTCGCATACCCACTACTCAAAGTCGAGCTGAACCAACACTTACTTTCGGGCTGCATGGCAACATGGGGTTACGTGATCATACAGGACAGGTGAACGTAATCTAAATTTGATTGAGAACGCAGAAGATATTTTGGACTAAAGACAAACCGAACAAGCAATTCAGTAATATCCATCTATCCCATAGACTGGCCTGCCTGTTTGCTGCTCAATGCAACTCACTGAACTTAGTATCAATGGTCTTGTAAAAAATAAGTGCACCAAAATTAGCTTTTCGGATCATCCGCCTTCAGGTAATCAATACAAATTCTGCTGCTTCATTGGTTATCTTTCGGACCATATTTTTGCCCAACATTTTCGAGCGTCATTTGAACGTTTCACGTGCCACTACAAATGTCGCAATATAGGTGAATTTACGTTCGTTAACTATGTTCTCTTCAGGTTTTTGTGATCTTTAGTTGTTATCGCGTTATTGTAAGCTACTCAGTAAACTTTCTCTCGAATTCGTTGTCACTTTAAGCCACGTACACATCACAGAAGACCGATTTCTCCGAAACTTCCTCCGAAAAAGATGGCAACGGGTTGCATAAGACACTAACGTTGCATATTGATTAACTGAGGTTTGAGAGTATGGACCTGAGCCGGTCATTAAATCTTTCCGGATTGTGGTCATTATACGATTGCTGTGCACGTTTGGTCCGGAATAATCTTCGACGGGGGGTAGCGTCATGTAAGGAAGGAGAATCTATGTCAAAAGGCCGGGAAGCTCTGTATTGCCGTATCACCCTTATTGGGATCTTCTGAAATGTGCAGCTCACGAAGTTTCAAGGAGTTTCGAACCCACGACCGGGTTAGTAGTTTGAACAATTAATCGTTCCGCTTCGAACGGCTGATAAACAGTGATTAACGCGCATTCAGGCATGACATAGCATCAGTCATCCTCCAGTCGTGGAAACCACACCATGTGACCACGTGTTGACTGGCTCCCCGAGTGATGACTTCTCAGATGGAAGGTTCATTCGTCGTTTGAATTATTCATTATCTAGACTACTTATGAATTTTTGGTCCTTTGATCTGAGAATTGGTGAATTTCAATGGAAATTTTGTCCTATCTTTGCCGAAAAGCCGACAAGCATTCACCATCGAAAATCTCAAAGCTACCCACCACAATAATGACCTGTCAGAAGCATTCTTTTCATTCTCTCCTGTATCGAACCTTCCCTAGCTCTTGAGCCCTAGTTCAGTACACATCCGAACTTTGATCATATCCGTTGGCTTAGTCAGTGTCTTAGTACGCAACATGTGCAGTTTAAGTTACTAGTCACAAGATATGGTGGCAATCAGTCTAAATAGGATGTAAGAACTTAAATACAGAGCAGCGGAAAAAAGTTTATGAGTCAAGTTATATTGAATCCACCAAACCATGGCTGAATCCGTTCTTCACTCAAATGTTATATTTTCAACTGAGAATCTGCATGAGTCTCACCAAGTTGAAAATATTGTTGACTGCTTTAGAACGCTTTAGGCTGATGAGAACAATGACGGATTCGAACGCATGAAATATGCGCAAGGTTTGTCAACTATTTCCTGAAAAGTTCACGAACCGTAGGTCTCACTCCTTTCATCAGAGTTGGGAACATACTTTCAGAGATATTTTTTCCATTTCTCTCCTTTGCACAAGTTTGTCCGATCAGCGTTGTACATGTCTCACGGAGAAAGCTAAATTCATTCTCGGATGTATTATCGTCCAGAATTTCCAGAGCTTCTATTTAACTTTAGAAAAAAAATTGCGCGTACATCTCGAGTGAAGCTTATAGTCAATCAGCTAGCCTGGATATGGTCTATCAAACCCCTAAGCCACTGCCTCTGACACTGAACTAATAATGACCCCTCAATTTGTAGAACGATTTTATTTAGAGACCTTGCTGGTCATTTGTGTTGTAAGTTACTTTTGCCATAGGTCCTTAAATTATTAGTGCGTGCAGGTACGTGAAGAGGCCTTATCAAAACTAGTATAGTTGCGACGGGCTAAACATCCATTCTTAACGAAAGTGGCAATTTTGATTTGTGACGTACGATTCGTTGGAATACACCAATCGTCCGTAATTCTCTAGTAGGATGCTACCTCATATTATTGCGTTTCTGTTACTTCAGTATCGTGCGAAGCTATAAAGAAAACACAAAACAAACGGACGACTAGATTTGTTTATTGTATTTCTCTGATTTTTGATTGCTAAATCCCAAATTACTGATTTGCGACACGTGAGAGCTGAACACCGTCCCATCTGATGAAAAATTTACTCCTCGTTCAGTGGCTGCATTGTCTGTGCGGAAGGAGACATAGCTGTCGCAGCACCGAGTAACTAAATGGTTTGGCTGCGTATGGTTTTGAGACGTCGTATGTTGGTGGAAAATGCTTCCATTGGCTAGCGATGGTTATATGCTCGCGGCTTGGTCACACAGTGAGATTCCAGAAGCGATTTATCTGTGAACATGAATTAGCTATACCCCATACAAGCTGGGAGATTTGCATGGCATTGAAAAGGCTTATTATACCAATTTGTTTAGAGTCTTCAAGGTGGAATAAATTCTGTGGAACCGAAAAATCTTAGTTTGGAAAAACGATTGTCAAGGGGTTGAACTTTGACAACCGTAACCATGGACATGAGTACATATCAACATATAGGTGATACTATTTGCTATCCGTGAATGTCAGTGTTAACAATGGAGCTGAGATTACGCCTGTGCGCTTTTGGTCGGTCGGACTAACATAAACGGCCACACAGTTATCACATTCTTCGGGTACTTGGTTTCACTTTCACGTAACTTCACAGAATAAAATCGAAAGGATTCAGCGCTATCGAGCATAGCCTTGGGATCTTTCAGTGTCTGGTATATCCCTCTGTACAGATGAAGCTGATTTGCTCAGCCAGGATTTAATGGTAGATTTGCACACGCCTCTCGGATTAACTTAACCGTAGAGTTTCCAAATTTAAGGAATACTATTGGAGTCCCTCAGTGCACCAGCTGAACTGGACCGTCAAAAAGTGACTGACAAAAAATTAGACTGATAGAACTATGAAATCTATACGGTGCTCTCTCCTTAGGGTACGGCTCCTAACATGTAGTACCCCAGGGACGAAACACATGGATCTTCGGATGTTTTTGAAAGGCTGTAGTTGAAACAAGCAGTTTTCTGCCTCTTTACATCTTCCGACATTGGTCTACAGCAGGCAATGCCAATTAACTGATACCCATTTCGTGAACCTACAATAAAACAGCGCGTCTCTGCACACCCTTGTTTTTCAACGCCCTTGGTGTTATTCTCAACGTTCCTTGAGACTTCGAGAATAATGACCACGCAAATGTTCTATCCTAACTAGACCCTTGCCCTCCGGTTCCAAACAGTTCGATGGATTGTGAATAGATCCAGCCGAATCAGTGGGCGATCGGTCGATCTGGGCGGTTTAGTGGCCATCTGCCCAGCTACTAGGATATATGTAAGGTGCTCCATGAAAGTGATGGGGGACGGGACTACACACACATGGCAAGTTTCTCAGAGTGAATTCAATATGAATCGCTTCACAGTAAATAAATGCGGAAAGCAACATATTCAGAAAACTGTCGTAGTTAAAACAGACTTTCTGTTTTCCCGACAAACTCTTCTATAAAAGTCTATGGTTTTGCTCCGTTAGGAATTTGTGTGGGAACCTCTTCAACTGTTGTGAATGAGCGGAATGTATTAGCCCAAGAATTATCCGGGCGCTGAGTCATATCCTTTCGTTTTTTTCTATTCACATCAGTTTTAGGGGCTTTACCAATCCATTGATTCAGTCTTTTGAGTCATCCTTAGAATCGGCCGTGATCCGCCACGACCGAACGTAATGTGGCTAGCACTAGAAGGCAGGATTGTGGAAATTAACACACGAGCATGGTTTAACTTTTTCGGAAAGTAGTTTGTTTCTAAAGCATGTTGAATAGCTCAGAAGTTGCCATATCGCTTAGAGTAGGCACCGAACCAAGTAGTAGTACCGTAACAGTACATTTCATCATCCCGAAGAATAACACAGTGGCATGATGCACGGGGAAAGCGCTACCCCAAAATGTGGTTGTCAATACCCACTGCTATTTATCAGTTGGGATTCCTAAACTTCCAAATTACTCGCAAAAGATACAGGGTTTGATGAATACATGGTTTCTATAGTTTCGTCTCGGGTCATAAAATCATGGAGTGAAACGACAAGCACACGGACGAAGACAGAATAAATTAAACTCCAAGAAAATAGAACAAAACTACAAGTCAGCACCGGATTGAACAGCTGGGCCAAGGTCACCAATGGGACGGTTTCCGGATGCAGACAGGTCAGAAGCGATGGTTATCTGTGTATATGGCTACGGCATCATGTTTGCTCTTGAACTTGCGTCTGTGTTGCGCCATGGGTTTCAGTGGCATGAGATAGGGTCACGCACACAAATCCATACCCACGTCCACACACAGGTCACCTGTCACCACCATCTCAAGGTCATCCTATTGGTAACCTTTGACCAGTTGTTCAATCGCAAGCTAACCAGTATCGTTGTTCCATGGTTATTGAGCTGTATTTATTCCGTATCGGTCCATATACCTGTATGCTTAAACTTCAGTGTTTGTGTGGCGTCAGGAGAAAATATCGGAACGTGCGTATTTTCGCTGGTTAATCTTCGATATGATTAATTTGAACACGAGAACATTTCGCCCAAACAGGCCGATAATTTCTCACAGCACACGAATTGGAATAGCTAATACAACTTAGAATGTCTGAATTTTGTCTCAAAGCCGACTCACTAAATAGAACTCCCAGTGTTAAACGAAATATACTGAAGTATTGTAGCACGTAGTAGGCAGTTGAGAAGTACGGCTCTGAAACTTGTCTATTGACTTGTGTTGTTCGCATTACAAAACAGTTTCATGAAACCTACGTGTTTCTTTCTCGGGGGTGTGTCGCAATCAATGTCGCACGGGCTTCATGTGGTTTTGCTGGGACCGTCGAGAATAAAACTCTCTCTCCTTTTCTGGGGACCATCAGCAATGAGATCATCAGGGAAGTGGTGATTATCGTGACGCACGCTTTTGGGGAAGAATTTTTCATTGGATGGTGCTCTACGACTGGAATATTATATCAGTTAATTCTTTGGTGTTAAAAACTACCCATCTTGGAGAGGAACACTAATGCACGGTCTCCATTGTGCGTGTTTATGAAGTTTCAAGAAGATTGTAGAATGACCACATAGTTACTAAGGAGGGACTGGTATCAACTAGCGTTAAATGCTAGACAGTCATCGGCAAACAGTGCATAAGAATTTCTATCTAAGATGAGAGACTTACAGCTTTTATATCGTTCATTAAACTAATTCCTGGACTCCACCCACGGCTGCTCGAACAAGTCAAATCTGTTGGAGGCGCAATGTCAGACGTCCGAGCCCTCGACAAAAGTCCCAAGGCCAGTAAACTCAAACCGTCGTATAGCAGAGCCGACTGAGTCTACAAAGCAGAGTGAATAAGGTGAATACTTGTTCAAATTTGCCCGTAAATTCAGACGATCCATGGACATGGTAGAAATGGAACAGAATAAAAATAAATTTGAATCCGCCGGCTTTATGAGTAACCACTCAATGATCCAATGATCTTCGGCAGCTCAAGATCCGATTTAGCTTGGGTAGCTCACACACTGTAAACGGAGTTCAGATTTCAGTAAATATGGTGCGCTTGCAAGTTCATTACAAGTGTTCCCTCATCATCTTAATGAGCTCATTAAGGATTTTCGTTGACTTGTCTCGTTGTAAGTTGTTGGTATTTCCTAAACCGTAAAATGCGGATCTCATGGCAGTTTCAAGGAGATGTAAAATTCATTCATACACTGCGATCCCGGACTCTTCAACGACGAAAATCATTCAGATATTCTCGGCTTTGGTGTTTTTACAGTATTCACTTGAGATTTCATCATGTAAGTCGAGCCCAGCTGTGTTGAGAACCCGAGAAGCAGTACAGAGATGTTTCAGTCCTATTAAGAACCAACGGCGGTATCTCACCGAATTCCAGAGAGTTTCGAATTGATGGCCTCCAGGTTAGTGGTCTGAACACTTCAGCTTCCAGCTGCGAGCGACTGATGAGCAGTGTGACGAACTCGCTCTGCGACAGGATATAGCGCAAATCATCTTTCAATCATGGAATTCATATCACTAAAATGAAATCATTTGTTAACCATTTTCATTTCCACTGCATATCACGGGATTCTAGAATCAGGTTGATCAAACGCAATCAGAAACTGCTATCGGCAAAGTATCCTAGGACGTTTTCGTTTACCACTTGTTTCAATAAATCTTATAACTGCAATGGAATAGGCACATTTGGCGCCCATGAACCCATAAAGGATATCCTGAGAAGCGATGTGATCGCCGTACACTAGAATGCTATTGTCACCACATATCGTGCTGCGGAAAGTTTTTTCACTGTTGAAATGGCTTTCGATAAAATTGATGAATCAATTTTACCATATGGAAAATCAGTGTCTGATTTAGCGGCTATGCTCACAACAGCTGGAATGCTGTAGTGAGAAGACCGCCTACCGGACCAGCTGTTTACTTCGGATAGCGAAACCGGGGACTAACAAGATGGCCTAAATATTAGCACAAAATCGTAGCAACGCATCAATTGATAATGCCACTCGTGTAGTGTGCATTGGCCATTAAATTTTCACAGTATCTCAACCGAACTTTGGACCTATCTGTGGGACATTTCGCTCATCGGAGTGTCAGACCGTGAAATATTTGGATTGGTTCGACTACTGATGTTCCCCGTACATTGTGGCAAAGTCCCGGACGGCTTATTAGGCACTCTGGCGAGTAACCTCTCGAAACACTCGTTCTTTTAACACTACTGATCATGCTAGTTCTAACTAAAAAGTTTAGATTCCGATATCCTTCCCTTGTTATTTCTCTGAAGGGTCACGAGCCTTTGGGTTATTATTACAGTGGCACGCCTTTTATGATACAGCCTTCTTCAGGTCACTGATCTATTTTGAATTTGCGTCCCACACATCCAATACTTTAAATGTACCCGCCAGTATATTGTGTTTTGCGTACTCACGTAGATTATATTTATTGGTGACACACGGATGGAGGAATTCTCTGTAATCCCATAGCACAAAAGCAAGTCAGGTGGCTTTTCTTCATAGTCAGTACTCGGATCACTGATTCACTATATCAGTGGGGTTCAGCCTCTTTATAGTTACGTTGACTTCTGGACGATATGAGGATGTACTCATTGTGTTGATCTCCCAAATGCGGAGGCACTTCGTGTGACCTTGGTGCAACACATGGATCCTGATGGGCAATAAATTTATCACACGATCACCTTTTCCTTGAAGATACGCGTCAGCTTACGAGCATCGCAGCTAGTCACATCTTCCTCTGCCAGTCACATAGAGTGATACACAATTACTGCGATGAACCTATCGAACCCAATACATCCATTCGCTATCGCTGTATCGGTCGGTCAGTCTTGATTGATTGAGTCGATGGTAGTTAGCTCGTCGATTATTTGTACTCCTAGAAATGCGATAACTAGTGATGAAAAGGAGATGTTGAAATTCTCAGTTGACCTTCTGTCCAGTAAGTGAATCACATATATGCTTGTTGGTTGTTCAGCATAGCTTTTCTTCAATTGCAGAGTGAAATCTCATTCGATAGTTTAGCTGGTTGCAACCAGACCATGAGCTCCGCAATAGATCGCATATACAGTCACTGCCCATGTGCATTGAGCCGTAGTTGATACCAGTGTCTCATCTGCACAGAAGAAAAATTTTGAATTTCCAGTCTTTTCTGAACATCCAACTTGCACGTTAGCATTCCCATTTTTTGACAGTCCACTTCTCATCCTGTTAGACTTCTGCATCTTAAACGACGATGATCATGGCCTTGATTTGGAACTTCAATAGTTTTTGGGACAACAAGCACTGTGACCAAACTTTCTCGATCAGGTCGGATTACTTAGTCCGGAATCATGTTGTCTTGTCCGGTGGCCTACTGCAGCATGAATTTGGATTCCTAAAACCTTGTTACCAGCTTGTCCAATCGTCATGTGCCGCCCTTGGTTGTCAACAATAAGACTGTAGGTTTAAATTGTCTTTTTCATGAATTTTGTGAGAAGGAGATAGTCTCATTTCACCTCCAACGTCCAAATTATTGCGAAATTCTTTTTCAGTTGTGGAAGATCCCTTCTTCATTACCAGAAGCAGTCGGATTGTATATCAAATTATTCCTGGAAGCTGCATCGAACACTTCTTTGCTGTGGTATGTTGGGGTGAATACAATATGTTTTGGCTCCTATACTACCCCTTGAACTCGCTCAAACTCAGGAATAATCAGAATGATGGAAGTGATTTCTCGGAAGACCATGACATAAATTTCGATCCGCGTATTGCGGGACCCAAGAACGACATCAACTGTCTCCTGGAGTTTACAGCGGAATTCTTTTCAATGCTCTAACTTTCTCTGAGGGTTGGTAGTGTGAGGAGACTCAAATCTATGCTGAAAAGCCGAGAAGCATGTACAGCTGATTCATCCTCATTGGGAATCATCAACATTGCGCATCTCACGACACCCGGAAGAGTCTCGAGCCCGCGACATCCCGGCTAGTATTTTGAACGCTTAACCGTTCGGCCAGGAGTGGCTGATCAGCAGTGTGATTAACTCGCACTTACACAGGATATAGCGCCGCTCATCCTTCAATCATGGGATCCACATCACGCGGTGTTAACAACCACGTGATAAGGAGATGGGCAGTATAGGTGGCGTTTTTTGATGTTACCTGTTCGGTCTATCATCTTATCTGATACATTTGTTCAAATGTTCCTGTACGATCTCTATCTGTTTCAGCGTGCACGGCACTATCGTCTCCGGAAACGATAAGGCCTGCGAATGTTGCTAGTCCGTGCACAACCAAAAAAAAGATGATGCAGAGGGCACTTTCGCTCCAGCCATAGGAAACCGCTGATTGTCAGCGTATCGGTTAACAAAACCGTGTTGGTTGCACGAAAATTCCCTTTCTTTGCTGTGGCGGGAAAACACCTTTTGTGCTTCACAAAAATCCGCACAAAATCGATAAGTCCCACTCGATTTCCTAGTCAGTAACACAGGTGATGTAGTGGGGTTCATCGTTTTACGTGCTATGCTGTTCTGTAACATTTCGGTCATGTTCATTAAATTTTTTTGGGACGATAGTCTATTCGAGGCTGAAATTTTGCTGTGAATTCAATCCAGTTACAAAGCTTGTAGTCGTATCCCATTTTCGAGAATAAACCTGAGTAATCTTTTGCACACTCTCGGAAGTTGATCCTCCAGGCGGTCATCTCGTTATTTTGATGCTGTGACCAATAGCACACTCAAAGTATGACCGACTGGCAGGTGTCGGCGACGAAGTCTGGTTTTAGCGATTCACACACAGTGATGTGTGGCGATGTACAGTTTTATGTGGCGTGGCGACATTTACTTGTAATTTCGTGTCAAGTGCGGAATCCATCTGGACATCCTGGAAGTACCACTGATTGGTAAAGCAAAGTCAACCCACCTTAGTAATAAAAGGAATGAGTCGGGCATGAACCATCAATATTCAAACTTCCTCGTTGCCACAGTTCCCAAGGTAGAGGATGATGAGCAGCTTTCTCGCTACAGAACGTATTTCGACTGAGGTGTCAGCGGTGTTTTATCAATATCTCTTAAGAATATTTTCTTTGGGTCTTTCGGAAGCAAAGCCAGCCAAAGAAATGAGATAATTCGTGCTGGCTTATCGANNNNACCTGTCGGCAGCAAGCAAGGAAGAGTGGAACTTGCAGTGAAATGCGCAGAAAAAGTAGCAAAAGCTGTACAAAAAGGCTGAAAAGGTTGCAAAAGCAGCAGGAGCAACGACAGCAGTAATGCTGATTATGATGGGAGCAGTGAAACAGCATTACCATAAGAAAATTTCTGAAGGGTGCGTCTGAAGGACAACTTTGAGCTACTAGCATCATAGTTTGCAGCCTGACAGAGTTGCTACCCCTTACAAACTGCGCAGGCATACATGGAGGTGAGGACTTAACACTGCAGGATTGCATATTGTTTGCAATATGAATATCACCTCAGTTTTTTTAAATATGAGATCAACAGTTGACTTGTGACTAGTACCTGTATTGCATGCTGAGAAGTAGGCGTCATGTATTGCGCAGTTCGCCTTGGTTACACATGAGCGATTGCTTATCGCTCACCCTCTTGGCGGCTGTTATGAAAACATGGAAACATCTCCAATGGGATGTAACTGTAGTCGAACCATGCTGTTCAGCTAACGGCGTCACGATTGCGTGACAACTATTTTGAGTGCTGGTTTACAGCTCACCCAAGCACCGAACAAAACGGCTCAATCAAACAATAAGATGGATGACGTCCTTCCAACGGTTGATATTATGTGCAATTCGTATGAGAGGACGTACCGGTTCAATTCAACAATCTACAGAGATTAAGATTCCTGTCTACATTAATTTACAAAGTATCGGAGGTCGAATATGACCTTGCTTTGTCATAGCGGGGTGTATTTTATGCAAGCCGATGTCCAGTTTAAACAGTGGGCTATATACACACTTGATTTTTCAGAAATATGTTACCAAACGAAGAATAAATGTTACGACACTTCTTTCAGATGAATGCAAAGGTTTGGGATCTACTTGCGTTACAAAAGCGCTCTGCGCCTTAGGGGATGACCTGATCACCCATGTGTTAGGCAAGAGGGCGGCCAATCCAACTACGTGACATGTACTGGGCGTTGTCGTACCACGAATTCGGTGAAATTAACCAAACAGTATCCAGGTTCGTGATACCTGATCAACGAACAAAAACTAATTAGAGGCTTGTCGTGCAGACTGAGCGCTGGTATCGATCTCTGGGATACTGTCTTGTCTGTTGTCTGTGTCTTAAGGATAGGCTGCAGTGGCGGCAGCCGCGTGAAAATGTCTCCACAATAAGACAGCCTAAATTAATCATTTTCATCCGGCCTATTGTCACTTATCATCTAGTTAATGGAATCCATATTTTACGAGAGTGTATCGTTTGAGGGCGACCATTGTGAAAAGGAGGGAAAAGAGAAAATGTTTGAGAAATCCTAGCAAATATTTATAGATTTTTCCATAGATTTTTATCAGTGTGCTTCACAAACGCCTTACCACTTAGCTTAGCGGAATGCTGAAATCAAACTGATAAGATAAACGATGTAAATACGCTTGCTTCCGCAGTGAGATGCGGTTAGTGGTGATAAAATAAGGTATGGTGGAACGACCACATCTACAATAACCTAATTTGAACTGAGGGGTCAATGTCAGTCTGATTCTACAATACAAAACGGAGAAATCTAACATTCATATACCACTGACCGCAAAATATTTAGTTATGAAAACCGATGCGCTCGCATGGGAAATATAATATGTTATACATCATTCGATCGAAGATCTAGAGCCATGTTGGATTACACCGAGTTAAACTCTTACAAATGAATCATTAGCAACATTTTTTGGCTTATGTTTTACCTTTGTTTGCTTTGTCAAACCCGACTTCTCTAAATTTAGCACCAATAAAACTGAGTGAAATATGACGACACATACCTTCCGTCAAATACACAATGTAACTTCGTTTTCCCGCTGTTCAAACAATGACGACAGTGCTGCCAACCGGGTTTACTTCGAACAGTGAAACAAGGTTTTTTAATGCCTGCTGTTTTCAAGCTAGAACCGTCTGCACACCAATGGGGTAGCTTCACATCCGGAACCGATTGGAATAGTAGCAACCGATCGGTGGGTCATCTTCTGGGCCTGATGATGCTAGGACTACCCAGCTACATACTGGAAGCGGTTACGCTTAGCGAAAACCCCGACATAGTTGATTTCCTATTATTTCCTTCATATACCACTAATGCAATGGTTGCTTCATAATACTGGAGAAAACTCGGTCGACTACAGCAGCCAGTCAGCCTTAAAATCCAGACAATTCTGTGTGCAGTACAGGCTCTTCTGCTCAATGTTTTACAAGTCACACGACTGCTCACGAGAATTTCAAGTTAAACGCCACCGTGCCTCTTGCCAGAATCTACCGCATTATTCGTATTTTATCAGGTGTACTCTTGAGGCTGAAGACAGCAACGAATGAGTGAATACATGTCACGTATTTTAGAAAAGAAGCCAGTACCACATAAGTACATGGCTTTAAAGATACCAGACAGCCTGCTAACTCACCGCGCTGATGCGTTTCGGTGTGCTGCTACGCACAAATCTTTCGTCGTGTATCGCTGAAAGTCGCACGTCGTCCAACAGTGCGCGAATGCCGTAGCCTTCGTCTCCTGTCGGGCGTAGAATTGAGAAGGTTGTAATATTCGCTCCTTCAACCACGTTGAATGCTTGCGAGTCAACAAGTTGAATATCCTATTTGAAAAGGGCCGTTGCAATTCTCACAACAAAACCTACCCAATCCGTGAAAACGTAACTGTAGTATTGTGATGTCATATTGTATTTCTTGGCCTGAAACGATTTGAGATGAAGAGAATTACTGACTTACCAGGAAGAGAAACTCTTCTACTTCCCAGAATGGAATGTCCACAATGAAGCGGAAATTAGTTTGCATTGTTTTAAACTGCTTGATCACATATTTGTGATTATCGTTGGCCACTTCCCATTTGCGTAACATCACAGGCTGATCGAAATTGCGCAGAAGATAGTCATACTTGAGTAAGCCTGGAAGAAATTTTGTGGGACAATAAGAAAACATATTTCACCGTCTGACTTATGATACTACGTTGATTTATTCGTCTATTAGACATTTTTTAGAATTTTGGCTTTATTTCAAACTGGAATCCGTTCAACAAGACACTACTTGAACCGGCAATACAGTGCAGACCATAAAAAGACTGATAATTTCGGCCGTTCAGACACAAAATGATCAGATTTTGTTTCAACCGGAAAAATCATGTTTCTGGAATAGAAAATAGGTAGAAACATAGGTAGAAAAATAGGTAGAAACATAAATGGTCACTTCTAATCCCGCTCCCTAATCCGGACTGATGGTAACGTCATGGATACAATTGCCTCGCACTGGAGATAGCACAAGTATATATTACTACCATTGATATCCTGTCATTCGATGTACGTTAACTGGAGTATTTTCTTCCCGGAAACGTTCACATCTCGAGTTATTCATTGAATGTACACTTGGTTTTCAAGAAGATTGGTTGCCATGATATCACCTAGAGCACGGTGCTCCAAAGAACCCTAAATATACCAGACATGACAAGCAGAGTTAGTGCTAGAGTGAATCTCTTGATCGTCTGGAAAAAATTGGCTGGATAAATGCTTCAGCACAAATGTCATGTAATGACATTTAGTGACATCTTTTTCCTTTGTTAATGCAAACGTATTAAGTGGTACTGTGTTTGCCAAGAGATTTCACGTAAATACACTCTTTTCATGAACATTCCATTAAAAGAACATGTCTTGAGAAGACGCAATACCCTTCAACTACCCCTTTAGGACGACACCTCAACACAAATTGTCGAAAACACAGAATCTTTTGCAGGGTAAATTGGTTTGAGCGCTAGAAATACCTTTGAATGAGACTTGAGCATTCAGACAGTAGCATCGATTATTTTCACTCTGAGCGAAAAGAGATAATTCTTTGGTCACGACCTGGACCGCTTATTATACTGATTAGTAAAGCTCAATAGCACTGGGATCACTGCATTCCGGCCGATGGTGACGCTTCATGAAACTTTCACAACTGGTCAGATTTCTGTCAGGAAAGCCGATCACGGCAATCCACCAAGAGCGTAATCCTGTGCGATGAACTAATGGCTACCAGATGAGCCATATGCAAGGATTGTAAGATACCTAAGTAAGCATGTTCACCTGGGACGGTTGGGGACCCGTAGCTTTAAGATTATGGATTTTCTGGTTGCTCAATCGCCTAGGCTCTTGCCCACCACAGCCTGAGCTCCAGCCAGCCAAAGACAAGAACGTCCTTTGGTATGACACGCAGGACAGTATTAGCTGGATGCATCTTTCGGTGTGTGACTCAGGATTTTGTGTTATCAATGAGTGGAGCGTCCACCATGTGAACCGAAGCATCTGATCACGCAGGCAACCATTCGCTTAAAATGAAGGCGGAGTTATTGTTGCGAGTTATGTGGAGGAGGAGGTGAAGAGGATGCAAGAGAAGCCGACTTATTTCAACTGCTCATAGGTCATCTGTCTGATGAAGAGCTTTCTGGTCACCAAACAATGGAATCGACGAGGATAGAACTGCCTTGAAATAGGGTTATAAAAGGCAAGGACCGTATCAAGAGATGTATTATAGCCTTTATGACGTCCTTATAACTGTGAGCATTGGCGTACTTGGCACCGATGTGCAGGAGAGACATAAAGCCGGACTCACTCAGCAAGACCAGATAATTTTCACGTGGACGAGGAAGGAGGCCTTATTTGAACTTCTTTTTTTGCTTGTGCTTAAGACCTTCTTTTGAAAAAAAGGTACACTCTGCCCCCATGTAATAGTTTCGATACCTATGTACAATGGTTATATTCTACGAGCGTGGCTCCCAGAGAAATTTATGCTTGTTCATAGTGACAGATTTCATCAGTGTTTTATTTGGTCTAATTCATTTTATGAATGATTCGGCAAAGCATTTCCAGTAACGGAGTAACTGCAGGAGATGTTTCTTCCTGGGGATGAAGATTTGCTGGGCAAAACCGGGACACAATTTTGAGAAGCTGGCTCTCTGAAAGTCATCGCACTTTACATCATGAACCAAGAAACATATGCGCGAAGGAAGAAGAATGGCGTAAAATTCCCTCATATTGGCATGAGTGTCTATATCGATTTTCAGTTGGTGCGTTCAGATGCATGACGGCTCAAAAGCAAATAAAACCGTACATGTTGATTACTTCCATCACGATCTCAAACAGTATTGGAGCGTTGTCTGATTTATTATTTGGATGGCTCTTCCCTATTCGGATGGCTAAGTGAGATTCAGCCCTGCATTCGAATTTCTTTCGCGGTTGCGCCACATCAAATTTCTACCATTAATTGATGCCATACGTCTAGTCATATATAGTTCCCGTGAACTGTGAGTTTGTGCACTCTGAACCTGCGTGATTATAGCTTCCATTAGCCTGGGTGTGCCGTGAGGGAATTTCGGAGATCAGTCTCGTCAGTAGAGAGTTTACGGTGACAACAGAGACGCAGACGTGCACCACGGTTTAATTAGCATTGTTGTACCTGTGGATTCTGGCAACGAATCGTTCTCATACCTCTCACACCTGATGCGGCAATTTTGGGATGTTGTAAAACCTAACTGACGTATCACGTACAGTTGGAACTATCGCTAGTAGTTCTCGAAGCTTAAGAATGCCTCTTTATTTTAAATAATTTTAAGGAATCTTACCATACGTTCTCATATATGCATGCGATGTAAGTTTATGGCCAACTAGCTTGAGATATCTTTAGTGAACTCTCAGTTTTCTGTTCCTGTCACATTACTTCTGATCCTCTGTATAATCGCGATGTCAAAACTAATCCTGATTTAGTGTATAAATATATATGTCATGATTTTCAACTTGTCTGATGTGTGACTTCCTCTTGCCGAGATTTATCACTTTTGTTCTATTTTAGACAACTTGATTTCCGTGATCCTTCAACTTCTAAGACTGTCCTCAGGTATACAATCATATATGACCACAATGGCCTTAGTAGCGTTGGCTTTTTCCTGTCCATGTTCACTCACTGGATTAGTGAGTATGGCAATCACTGAACCGTGCAATGGCATTGCTGAACGCATCTGTATTAATAAGTCATGCTGTGATTCGCAATCCCAGTACGTTCTCCCCAGATTGCACATCTTGATCGACCAAATCATCCAACACCAAAGTTTGTTCGCCTGATGATGTGTATCCTATCAGGTAGTAAATGTGCTTTTGGAACGTACTTCTCTATCCAACTGAGACATGGAGGGCACAAGCGCTGATAACAGGATTCTCTAATAGAAATTATAACCAAATTTAGCTTCTCATTGTTCCCTTAATCACCCTGTCGTAGTTTGCTTCAGATAGTAAGGTCTATTCTCTTGATTTGGAACTTTATCTAGCATGAACATTTCGCCGATAGAATCTTTTAATCTTATTCACTAGAGTTCCCACGCTCCAAGCCTCAGGCCGCAGGTGAGGTGTTCACCCCTTTTCCCCGGAGGCTGGCGTCAGGTGTAAGAAAGAAATGGTTTTCAGTCACGGTGAACAGAAGGAGGGGCTTCTTTCACGTGTCGCATTACGAACCGGTGACCTCACGACTTGACTTAGTATTATTCGAAACTACAGGAAGTAGGTACGAAAGTCCAACTCAGTGCCACTGATACCCTGCAGATAATCACTGAGCAACACCGGACTCTTGTCTTTATCCAAGTACTCCAGTCATTTTAACCAATGCGCCGGTGGTCGACGACAACCGTTAGAAGTGGGAAGTGAAGTTTTTAGGGGGCGTGTTTTCACCCATCCTTTTTCGGTGGGTGGCTGCGTCTCTTTTTCAATCAATGCTAAACTTCTGGTTGTTTGAGAGGCAATCTCCCACTGTCATGTACCTGTGGCTGGAGACAGCACGACTATATCCACGGACCAATACGCAACAGGAATGCTGGCAGAAAACTGGTCAGGTTCTGTTCGTCAGACTATTTCAAGTTGACCTCCGTGAACCTCTCTGTAACGTAGGAAACTAAGTTCCAGCCAGTGTAGATCGTACGAAAATACTTTTCCACACAGATAACTTAAACTGATCCTTTCGAGTGGCTATTCACTCTTCGAGAGGAATTTTTATATTAAACGGTACTCTCATTACTTCCGCACGGGGTTTTGCACAGCTTTGAACCCAGAATCAACCAGACTGCTCCAAATGAGTAGATTCTGGAACTGTCCACCTGCTGGCAAAGCTCTCTTTTAACCGAGGTACAAGAAAATTAACAACTCAATGTTTACCTTCAGCACCCAAATGTAGGAATTTTGTACGTCTTCATGCAGAGATGAAAAAACTCGTCAATTTTATACAGAATGGTCTTCTGCTCCCCTGGTATACGGAGCAATACGGAGGACGTTCTTCTTACAGAATACATGGACAAGATGAAAACCGCTTACAGAGAGTCTTTTTACAGTTAGTTCCTCATTATTGCAGTGATAACGGAAGAAAGTATCCACATCTCAGCCGAAAAGTGATGGATACATTCACTTACTCTCTTCTTCGTAATAAATCAAGGCAATCGATTCCCAGTACTCGGCTTTTCTCACGTAGTCGTACAAAGCCTGTCCATAAGCCAAATAGTGTGGGTGTACATTTAGTGCAAAGCCCCTTGTGGATTGTCTATAACCCCAATCTATTTGTAGGTGGGGAATTTCAAACTGGTTGGCTAAGGATTGAACACTGTCCACAGCAGTTGGAGTTGTCGGACCATAGATTGCAATGACTTGGCGCTCCAATAAACGGCATGCTGGAAAAAAAGATGGGAATCGTTCAAACGCCGGCTTAGGCTTTTGTTGGATTTCAACAAAGTGATGTAGGAACTGAAGCTGACTCTTGATTGGGGAAAATATAACTCATTTCGGCTGCTGTGATTACTGTGACTAGAGGGAAATAATTACACGACCGGCTCTGTGGAGTGAAATGTCCGGCCAAAAATGGGTGAATGAGTGAGTAGCATCAACAAGACGGCTACTAGAATTCTACGGAAGAAAGCAAAGAAACAAACCATTCAGACGATGAGAGATAACCTCAGAATGTTTACTGGGAGCTGCTTCGGCTTCTGTAGGCTGACGTACTCGCATATCTGGCTGAGCTGAACGTTACATGTGGTCTGACAAATTGACCATCAATGGGGTCAGTCTGTTGGTGAAAAGAGACTTCTACTGTCAGCTATCTGAGGAGAAAGGGCTACGGCGCATTAGTGCAGTAGATTTTTGTGTTAACGAATGTTAATTTCCAATGGAATTTCGGACAAGCTCAGTGTGCAATTGAGTAGCGGAGCACTTTGGTGGTCCGCTGACAGCGTGCGTGAATTGAGCAATTTTGTGGCTTTTATCTTCTTCTGGTTCTTATGGATCCAAATTGTTCTGTCTTTACCGTCGTCGTGTATTTCTCACGCACACCACATCGGGACCATCACTGGTTCTCTGGTTCATCTTAACAGCACAGACACTTGAGATCCATTCTTCCATCCAAGCGAGTGGCTTGCCTTCGTTTCTAAACTTCCCCAGGAACTCGCTGTTTCATCCTTAATTTCCCTATAAGCCGAAAATGCACTGATCTGATAAATAAACTCCTAAAGGGTTGAAATTACAAACAGTGCAGGCTTTTCCTTAACCAGCATGGTAACTCTGGAGACTGACAATCATATGAAAACTGAATTATTTGCTTCTATGGTAAAAATGAGTCTAAGAAGTGACACGTGGATTTTAAAATTTATCTAGTACTGAAACGTTCAGTGGGGTGTTTCGTAAACTACCATGGTGGAAATGTAATCAGACCGTGTAATAAGATGATGAACTGAATAAGTGGAGCCATTTCACCTCTGACCAGTCAGTGTCACACTGAAACACCGAGATGTCACGAAACAAGACCTGAGGTTAACTAGTAACCTAGAGTCGTTGAAAGGTAGAGAATTCGGCAATTGAAACTTTTGGTCTGAGTTTGGTTGGTGTCAATGTGCAATCAAAGACTCAAAATGGTTGCCCGTCATCAACACCCTTTTGATCTTGCGCACGCACACCGCAGGGAAGTAACCTGTGTTGCGGCAGTGGATTCGTGCCACGATCAGATATGTCAAGCAGTTCAACGCCAAAATCCTGTAAGTGACCAAACCAATGAGCTATCATAAATAGTCAGGAATGCATCTTGTATAAACGTGTTTACCAGTAGTTGCTCAACTGGTCCCGTGAATTTTCAGTGGTCATATGCGCATGACACATAATATGATCCTAGTAGTTCTCATGACAACTGAGAGATACTATAGTCAAGGCCTTTATATAGCTCACAACAGATTTTTATTTTTAAAAGGAATCTACGTTATTTTGATCTCATTACATTGGCCTTTCACGGAGAATAGTACGAGACTAAAAAGAAATCGACCTGTCAGGCAGTAGCTTACAAACCATTTCATAACATTCACAATCTATGAAAAGCAAAATATTAAATAATCGCATCAGTGTTGGACAAAGGAATACCATGAAGGCCATGAGCACGAGCAGCAAGTTCCTAGGGGAAGAACAAAGTTGAAATGAAGGAATTCATTGTTTTCAGTTGGGTCTACCGACTACGACTCTGTTGAGACGAGTATTTTTTCATCCAAACATTGACAAACCATGTGTTTCTCAGGACCCATTTGACATATCGCAGCGGCACTAAGACCAGAGTATCATTTATAGCCCTTAGGATACATCATAAGTACCATCCTGAATTTTTATTCCATTGGACCTTGCACAAACACTTTGTGTGCATTAACTCACTGGCGCCGCTAATTCGCCTTGACGTAGACAACAACGATTAAGACAGTCTCCTGAACAATGATATTTAAATCCAGACAGATCGGATACAAAACGGCCAAATGGCACGTGGTGTTCGGCATACACGCCCTGTCAACTCAAAGGGAAAATCCTCGATATCCGAGGAACTATGTTCCATGTTACAGGTGGTCATGAATAGGGGATAAGTCAAGGGGATAAGTAAATCTAACATCGTAAATCCTCGTGAAAACCAGCAGAATACATGGGGACCTTTACCGCGAAATGACAAAATTCAGCTGGTTTCCCTTACCAGCAACAGTACAAGCAGGACTGTGTGCTTACTATGTGCAACGAAGCCCTATATTTCACCAGAAATCAAATACATGTGAAGCACGTCGCTGGATAAACGAGGTGCCCTAATTAAGCCGAATTATAACGCTGTCCGGTTTCACTTCGCACCTCCCGACAAACGCCAAGCAGTAGTAGCATTACACACACATACTGGGTTGTTGCGTTCACAGCTGTCATGTCAAAAATAGTAGACAAAACAATCAACTTAATGCCAAAGTGGTAGGAACTAAGTGGGGAGACAGTTCGATGGGTCATAGAGTGAAAGCTGTATCTCTATAGAAAAAAACGTTGATGTTTGCCTTTTTCTAACTGAATTCCAATTGATCGCATACGAAAGCCAGTCGTCTTCTTGTCCGTCAAATGGCCAACTTGGGAACATTCACCAGGATGGATTTAATTTCGTGGGAAGCATTTTTCACTGTCAGAATGCTCCTGATGTCTCTTAGAATGTAGATAAGTTAGATGACTTGAAAATTACAAATTCTTGGAGTAAAATGACGGAAGTTGTGCCGGAAAGCAACAAAAGTTGCTAGAATATTGTAGCAATTCAGGTAATCGAAGACGTCGACTTCGCGTGGATGGCTTTAGTTCAAGAGTCGTTACTCAAGGACCGTTGAACAGAAGTTCACACCGTCTGTGCTATGTGGGAGCCAGCAAAACTATCTCAGTTGAGGGGAAGTGGATCGCACCACTTTCCAAGAATTCGTCGTTAGAAGTCATGTCGATTAATTTGGTGTAAATGTTACATTGATGAACCGTTTGCTCGTTCACACCGACTCACTGCCGGTAAACGGTGTAAATAGACATTGACCCTCATAACGAAGAACCTTGTGTTTACCAAGCCGTGATATTCAAATTCAACCAAATTCTGCAGCAATTGTAGTCGGACCATGAGAAGCACAGTCACAAAATATGTACTAAAATATTATCCATCTATTCAGTTCGCTTCAGGAAACATAACTCTGTTCGACATTTCATGCAATGGTTGACAGTGCTTCCCAAAAGCTGGACGGATGATGAGGTATGTGGATCAATATGAAATATTTAAAAACTATTACCTTTCCTGGAGGCATCGAAACTGTCGTCGCCGTCAATGGTTTCGATCACGGGTACCAACTGTATTCCACGACGCTGTGAGTCGTGTCTTTGCAAAAGTTTGTTAGCCTCTTGGACGCTTTTTCGGAAGCAGAACTCCTGAGCAACGTCATTTTTCTCAATGATTGCTCCTGAAAGGAGACGGTGAAAAACAGTTTGCAGGTTATATAGATTATCAAGACAACACTGACCCCCCACTATGAGCCGAGTTCACATGACAAAGGCAAAGCACCCACGTTGCCAGCCTGAGCGCTACAATCAAGGCATACTTTCAAGAGTCCCAGAAACTTGACAAACAGGTATAAAAGCTTAATTTCAATTGTAATTTCGTCCTGCAGAGTCTACGCTAAGGAGACCGGGAGTATTGTAGGGCAGTTTCGTTTTCACTGCGAATCGTCGGCGGTGCGCATCGCATGAAACTCAAGAAAGGTAAATGGTAAAAGTATCCCCTATCTTATATGACTAAATGTGAATCAAATGTAATTATTGGGACGGGGGACTTACATTTTTTCAAAAGTGCAATTTTTGTCGCAAAGACGAAGATAATGGAAATAATGACTGTATATAGCATATTTCCTTAAGGTAGTTTATACCGACTGTCTCTGATGACTCACATCATCGTCTGGTCAAGTTGTGAAACAAGATCGGACATGTTTTGTTTTGGAGGTATTCGCCAATGCGAAGTTACTCAACTATGATGTCTACAGTCATTAACTCAAGTGGAAAAGTCCTTAGGCTTCGGTTGCTGACTTACCAACTGCCAACTCAATGGATTCGAAAGCTTGAGTTCGCCCGATTGTTTGAAACATAAGCAGGACTGTAACGGGAATCCATCTTTGTGTAGTCTTCATCACATCGATCTTTCGTGCGATAATTTTCTACGCTCTTCTAGTCTGAAGATCAACACATTAAAGTGTGGTCACAATGGCGTGAACTAAGTTCGTTGTAAAAGCATTCAAGCTATATTAAAATGAACATCTTCATATGAACTTATAAACACCACCTCAAGTGCGCCTAGGTACTATTTTTCGGTTTGGGAGGCTTCGACGCAAATGTTACGAGAGTTGTACGAACTACTTGGATGACTATTAGAATACTCGGCACACAACACCGTTTTCAGAATTGACAGGGACGAACCACAATGTGCAAATCATCGCTGCGCAGAAATTTCAAAATATGTCGACTGACATTCCGAATTGCGATTTGGAAGCGCCATTGAATAGCAAAAAGCAAAGCATGCAACAATATAACTCCCTCAGTCCAAACTCAGTTCACGGACTTGATAAATAACTCGACTAGAAAGAGGACCATCAATTGTTGGACCGTTGCAAAACTGATTTTAGTTGATAGGTGCTATGTCCCATTATGCATAGATTTGCCCACAAACTTTACTGCATCACAGTTTGGTAAAAACAAACAAAGGGCTTAGCTGTTGAGTGAACAAACGAATCGCTACAAGGCAGTGAATAATAGTGAGTGGATGGAAGTCGGTGATCGTGCGTGCATCCAAGGTAAACGTAGGTGAAGATGACCAGTACAAAATCTCCCTCTTTTGGTTAATGTGCTCATTATAGGTAGTATGTGTACAAGGGAGACGTAGACTAATTCGTCTCGTTAGCAACCTTGCGACAGGAATGCTGAAATTCAGGAATACCAGAACTTCCAACGCGTATGGGGAACCTCAACAGTCATCGTAAATGCCCATCGCACCCTTGCGAGAATACGCTACTGTAAGCAGCGAAGCAGTCGTGCTTACTAAATTATCTTGGAATCACTTCCGTGCAGTGGGAATCTGAATAGTCGTTGACCGTCGTTCGACATATACCAAAAACGCCTTCCCCATTCGGGTGTTATAAATGACAGAACCCCACTCCGCGTTTTCCCCTTCGTTTGCTTTTCAACATCACGGCAAAAGTTATAATTTCGGGTTCTGAATTTCACTCCAACGCCACGCAGTACTGAAACTAATCATATCCGCGTTTCCATCACGAAAAGTATTAATTCTGTCAAACAAATCGACAGCAGCGAAATCACTCGCAGAGGCCCCCACCGGATCAATCAACGTTGTAACCTCACAGTTCCTGCATCCGTAGGTAAATGTATCAACCGATTTCCTGAAGTCTTGCAGATCCATCTTTCTTTCTCATCCTTATGTGAGGGTGTTGAATGGGAGTGCGTAGTAACGCAAGTCTTTTGTTGTCACAATTCTTCAAATCTCTCGGAACGAAATACAGATTGGAATGGTACTAACAGCCTGACTGACCGAGTTCACCACGCCTCAAGTTCACGTGAAAAACTCAGAAAAACTCAATCAAATTCACAATCCAAAGTCCCACACGACTTGGTAGCATTTGTTGCCTAACTACACACTGCCTATCAGACTTGTGCTTCATTACCCAAATCATGTGAATAAAACTGCTTATAGTGTTTAATTTCGTTAAGCCATCCCGGATATATCATGAAAAAGATCAGACTGGGTTTCTCCGAGAGTGGACGATATGGTAGCTAGGCTAAACACTATGGGAGAAAGTGTTTTTGACACCAGAACGGTCTTGGTGTCTTCCTTGAGTTGAATATTGGTCTCATCGTTTCGATAAAGCATTTTCATGGCCAAACCTGTTTGTTGGAGTGTATCATATCACAGAATCATAACCCCAACTAGGGTGGCCCGGCGTTATACCTTACTAGCAGTATGCACGGGAATATCCATTTTATTTGGAGGTGGGCATGGATAGGAGTAATTTATTGTCCATGCAAAGTACAAATGCTCACCCGCACAATATTTTTTGGGACGTTCTAATCCTAAAGAACCGGATGAAGCCTTATTTTACTTGACTGTCGCTCTGTTGGAGAGAGCACTCAAGAGATGTGAGACTTCTGTTTGCAATACTGACGCCGCTACTATACGGGTCAGCTGCCATACATATAATGTCAGCAGGTTGCCTAACGTAGGAGCCACAAAAGGTGTCCGGAAGAAAAAGGATTCACTGTTTTATGCTTATTGCGAATCATTATTAATGCATATTTCACAAATCTCTAGATAAATTCGAAAATCGCGAACCCCAGGTTGGAAGGTGAGCACTAAATCGTCCAGCCCCCAGCGACTGATAAGCAATGTGATTAACCCACACTTAAGTTTTGGTGGCATTCATTATTCAGTCACGGAATACACACCATGTGGTTACGTGTTGACTGTCTCGGCGTCTCGGAATATACTGAATTCGCTTACAGGACGAACTCCTGATTGAATAAGCCATGGTTCGACGATAGTATCACGATGAATCTTGAACTATTTTTGTCAAAGTTTAGAAAGTGATCTGCCTTTCCCCATTGGAGTTTTATTTCAGTACCGTCGCAACTAACGCAAGGTCATGATGATTCGTCAGTAACGTCAGTAACAGGAGGACTAGTGTGTCAAACGAAGGTGCCATGAGGATGAATTCTACAAATCTCGCGACCAACTACAACTAACACAAAGTTGTCGCACTTGACACACATGGCTGCCACCAGTTTACACATGAGGAGACGTGGCCTGGAGACCTGTTGGTAGGTGCTGGATAAACCAAGAAACCGCCTTCGTTCCAACACCACATCTTTATTCCTACTCATATGATAAGAATCAGTTTTTCGTTAATAACTTTTGCTGTGCTACAGTCCAGCAGAACCTGACAAAGACACAAGAGATAGTCTGATGTGTGAGTACAAATCGGTTCTCCATTAAACCAATCGGTAAGTGTGGTGATAGCTAACGAACGAGAAAATATGAATGCACAATTCAAGTATACGAATCGGCTGGGTGTGTTACCTGTCGCACCCGTATAGGTTCCACTTTATATGAGAAGCTCTGTTCTTTCTAACTATTGCAGCGATAGCCCAAACTTCGATGCCTGTCAACACCCGTCCTGATCCCGCCAGCCACACACCAAAAACAAACAAGTTCCAGAAAAGAAAGGAAGAAGTTTATGAGTGGTACTGATGAATAAATAAACCGATCGAGTCCATCATCCCATCGCCAAGGTAAGTGAATGGCATTGTCAAGGTGGTTTGTGCAGACACTCAGACATTATCGGTTGACCAAGTCGGTCTTACTAAATACTGGCGATCTCGCCTGGAAATTCAGAGCAGAACTCGAACCATTCTTTTGGGCTCGACCAAGAATATGTCGTCTCACGAACGATGAGCTGGTTTATCAAACGTCTTATCTCAACTGATCCATCAGCGAATGATGAAGGGTACGATACGCCCATCTATCTAGATCCGAACACCACGATATTAACCATAGCTTAGTGGCATCTCTAACCATCGAATTTACCCAGTTTCACCTTGGAAGTTGACTGGATGATGGAAAATTTCAATCGCATTAGAATGAAAAACGAGTTAGGCAGGTGCTTGGATTGCATTTGTTAATTATGCCAAAAGCAGTGTCACGTTGCACTTATGAAGAGCGGTTTGGATCATACAGATGAACATTGACATACCGCTAGTGTAGGTGGTCTGCCGTTTTCTCTATTCGTCGAGAATACGGAATACCAACTTCCAGTCGAGATTTCAGTTTGTAGCCAAATCCATTTGTGCTGGTAGGCTGAAATACATCACAGAGCTTCTTCATACTTTCTTATAATCACCATTAGAACGCTACCGATCAGTCTCGCAGGTTTTGAAAATAAGACCATTCTATCAGTAAATAAATCCTGCCAACCAATCATGAGTCGTTGTTCAGCAGTGACTAACTCACAGGTAGATGGGATATAGCTCCACGCATCCTCATTGCACGTCATGTTTTGACTAGGTCATCAAAGAGTAACTTCTCGGGTAAGAGGCCCACGGGATTTGTTTGCTTCAATCCACAGCAGATTATCCACTAAATGTGTTGAAAATTGAGTTTTCAATAATTGAAACCGTCCTAAATCCCAAACAGTGTTGGATACCACCAGCATGGTAGGCAGGGTGCAGGTTTGTGGTCTCTAGTGGATAGACAGTGGGAATACGGCACTGCTGAATTCTAACAAGTTTAGTCGCTCACACTAGTAAGCACTCGAAAAACCATGCGCCCTCTGAGTGCTCCGATGGCTGAGGACAACACTATGGTTTCATACAGGCATGTGGGTTGGCGTGACTAGAATTGCATCAGCTCTGCTCTCAGACCATAGACCCAGACATCCATACAACATGACAGGCAACGCGGAGGTTACATGATTCTGGGAACGCCGCTGGATTTCGGCCATCAGGCATACACCTGACCGTCAACTATGGCCTCTAACCAGTTGTAAATCGTGGTTGGTAAATGCGCAGGAATAAATTCACGTGCTAGCTTACCGTCTCATAACTATCTACGTATATCAGAGGTCAGGAACAGTCCCTGTATGGGTCTGTCTCTGAAAGAGCGACCTTTTTTCAGAAGCAATGTTTTTGATTAAACTACGGTACTGAAAACAAAGCAGAAATGCACAAGTTGGCATAATGTCATTTTCTGAACCGGATTGTGTTTGCATCTGGTGAAACGTGGCGCGGTAAGTTACACAACCAAAGTTAACGCCACATATAGTTGAATGCTTTAAAACAAACAGCGCTAATGTCCAAGTCCAGGCTTACATGATTCACGGATGTTTCACTTTCCGTTATGATCTATCCAATGCCAGGACGCGAGAGGGTTTCACGACTGGAGTCGTCCCGATCTCTCTAATTCATGGGTGGTCGTGTTCGAGCTACTCGTAGCTGTTTTCCTTTCCACCAGTCTTTCCTACTGCCATTGTACACTATTTGACAACTGGTGCACATAGTTCGTCAGCGGTTGATGTGCATTGTAGAGGCGTTTTC